ATTCAAAAAGTCTTTAGAATAAAATCAAAAATGTATGGTAAGACAATTTAATTTATAAATTTTGTAGATCTCATCATCTTAATTTAAAAATAAGAATCAATGCTTTCGAAAAATACAGTTACTGATGGTACAAACATGGATGGCCTGTTTTTGGAATGACTTGTCCGTGTTATTGATTATTTTCTCAGTAAAATCTGAAATACTTACCAATCAAAGTTCAAATTCTTTGTTTCGTTGATGGAAAAACAATAGCCTCGAACTATAATCAAACCATCGAGTTGACATCGTGACAAAAGTAAGTTTAGTTAAACGAAAAAGATTTTACCTAACTATGCAATGTGAGCAATCGATTAATGGCCTACTTCTATACATTGACTTTACCCGATTAAAAGAACAGATAAAAAGACGAAACGCATGTCAAACTGGAACACGTACAAACTGTATACGAATGACTTTGAATTTTTTTTACGGATAGCTTAGCTGAAAAATAATTTGGCAGTTGTACACATTTCATGCAGCATTTATCTCATTTCTACGAAAGTAAGAAAATAACCTGTTTCTTCTTTCAGCTTAAGTTTTATATTACATGTAAACTTATGAAAACTCTAACTCTGAAAAAATCCTAAACTTAATCTATTTCTTGAAGAAGAATTATGATTTTCCCTTTTAGAGCCATCTTTCTCTTGCTCTGATGTAAATGTATTGTAGTGTCAATACCAATTTTTTTCGTTTCCTACACATATTAATATCATATATTATTTTCACTTAAAATTTTTTTCCCTCAAAACCTATGCTGCAATCTTAGTAGTAGAAAAATAGAATTCGCACCTGGTGTGCACCTAATCATGGAAAAGTCAACAAGTCACTTAGGACCTGCTTTAAAGGTCCCTTGGACTCTGTACTTGCCCTAGAAATAATATGCCTCAGACGCACAAATAATTATTTTATCCTACAATGTTGAATCTGCAAACAATTTTTATAAAATAATGTGTAATATTAAATGTTATGTGGATTTCCTCAGCTATTTATAGTGAATCAAGACAAAAAGCCCCTAGCAGGCATGTTTCTTTCCTTGACGCTTGATTGCAACGCATTAACTGTCTTACTCCCTTGACCCTCGTCAATTTAACTGTCCCAGCTACCTACACAGGATCTTCCTTTACAGCCTCACTTGGTACTATATAGTCATACATATTAGTTTTCAATATTTGTGCATACATTAATTTTGGTAAGTTCTAACTTTAACCAGCACGACTTTTTCTTACTTCTCGACAATATCTTTAACTTATTATGTTATTAAATGTAATGCTGTAATCAAGAGAGCGTGAGATAGGAAGAGACAAAAAAAATTTTACTACTGTAGAAGTCGATGTTATTTTTACCAGCTGAAAGGTTAATAGAGTTAGCAAAACTTTTTAGCAGCAGCACTTAGGTTGTACAAACTTATATTGTATACTTTTATTTGTAGTTTTTAACAATCTAATACGGAAACCGGAAGAAATGTTCTTTAGTTAACTATTTAAAATTTCTTAAGAACATGCAATTACAAGAAAAGTACAAGTATTTCTTAATGTTTGTATGAATTACTAGCAGCCCCCCGTCTCGGCTTCGCCTGAGACTTACTAAATAAAACACCGTAGTGTGTTGACATGTAATGTGAAACATTTTCAGTTAGAAATTTTACACATATTCCTGATACATCTCAGAACAAAAATCTTCTTATTAAAAACATATTTTTTCGGAATCCATATAGTTTATTTGGTCAAATAATAAGGTGTAAAAATTCAAAAAAATAATTATGCTGAAAAGTACCGTGCGTTCTTTATGCCATAAAATAATCGGTGGCCATAAGAAGCCGTTGATTTACAGTTTCTCCCGTGTAATTCACGAAAACGGCTATTTTTTAAAGCTGTTAAGATTTTAAACCCCCAAAAAATTTATATTAAAAAAAAATTTTTTTTCTCATATCTCACAACTTTATTACCAGAGCAACAAAGTCCTGGACCTTAAACCCTACATTTTTATTGCCACAAAAACACAAATACATTTTCTACTCATTAAAAAATCTGAAGTAGGATCTTTAAAGATTTCAGAGATTGCTGTGAGGGTACAATGAAAAGCTGATCTCTCACGTAATGGACTCTTTAGTTGTCGATTTTGACGCTGCTGTTTCAATCTCGATAAATTTTCTGCGTCAGTTTCTTGACGCCTAAGTAAAATTGTATTTATTAGATACACTTGAAGTTTTTCTTCCAATTCACCCTCTTGCGACTTTTGGCATGCTTAAAATTTGTGTGACCCCTAAAGGCTGTTTTCTGTCAACTTTGTTAAGTTCTAATATATTTGTTGGCAAGGTAGTTCGACGTCCGATGGCCCTAAAAAAGACCGGTGAGCTTTTTAAGTTAACTCTTTCTTGACTGCAGTTAACAGCAATTGTGACTGCCTGGATACCTCAGGGTGATCTTCTCTGGCTTGCTGTTGAAGACCCAGACTGATTGGGAGAAAAATTACAAAGTCCGAAGCTTTGGGGCTAGTTGTAGTGCTCTTTTCCAACGTCTCCCGGTATAACGTCAAAGACGTTGGTGTCTAAAGCACCTTTTTTAGTTGCAAATTCAGTTGTTTTGGTGATCTTAAATGGGGAGATTGGTTAGTAATACTTGTCCAGTAGAGGCTGTCCCGTTGGCTCAATTTTTTTTTCCTACATAGCTGTTATAGGTTTGTCCAACGCAGACATTGGAGAGGATCAGTGATTCCTGGTTGAATGCTTAGAATCGAGAGGGTAGTATAGTGTCGGCAGTCACCGGGTTTTCCACCCTTGCAAAGAACAACTCCGCAGGTGACGTCTGCTAGTGAATGGCTGACTTAGTTTAATAGTGCCCGTCTTTAGTTAATATAGTCTTTTAGTCGACAAATCGCTTCCGAAAATGGTTATAAAAATGTATTTGTTGGCAAGGTAGTTTACACTTAGGTGGATCCTAAAAAGAACCGATGAAATTGATGGTTAAGTAGGGAACGTCAATACTTATAATGGCACTAAAAAGTGCCAGTGGTGAAACTTACCGGCTATTCTTATTCCTGATGATGAAGAGCTGGCTACGGTTGCTTAATTCTTACCCTAGGAGTCTCGATTTACGGAGACTGTGATGGAGGAAGGTACGCTGCTGACCAAAGAATATCTCGTCTCGGGTCGTTCTCCGAATAACCAACCGCTCATCGTTAGACTGGAACATGTGGATAAGCGCATTGGAGACGCGACGACCAAGAAGGTCGCCGTTGTAGCTGCCCATGCCCCTCAGAGCTCAGAGATGTTTTTCCTTGGTTACATTGGTAGCCACAAATTCTCTGACTGCACCGAGTGAGATGGTGGGACTCCCTCACAACTCTGATGAGTTGAACCAGATTGTGCTCTGGCTACATATGTCTTCTGGTATTGAGGCAAAAATGGCATTGATTGGAGTTATTTTTTTTTTTTTTGATCGCACTCATCAAGTTTCAGGGTAAATGGACACCTAGGTCCCTTCCCCCTTAGAGAAGAGTGTCGTCTGTTACCGGGATACCCAGCTGCAAGACTATCATAATCATTCTCCATACAGCTCGTTGTGTTGCCGAAACTCGACTACAACACTGTGGAGACGCTCCAACCTATTATAAAAACACTTATTTAATTACGTTGCAGGTAGCTTCGATTTTATGTCGACGCCACCTAGCGGATTTTGCTGAACAAAAGTGAAAAGCTGGCATATTTTTGCAAAACTTTGAGCTCATTTATTGCTATTGTTATTAAATTTTTTGAGATAAAAACTATGCTAAAAACATCTAGGAAGTATCATGAATCAGTGAGCAAAATTTTAACGAAATCGGTTCAGTAGTTCTTGCGGTTAGCGATTACAACGGTTTTAGCGCTTCTGCTTTATATATTAGTAAGATTGCAACTTTCTTTAAAAAAATCATTTTTTTTTCATTTCAGTACAATGAATCTCACGATATTCATTGGCCGATGAAAGAATTTTAATTCGCGAAATATAACTCCTATTTCTCTTAAATATGCAACCAATTTCTCAATGCAGTATAGTAGTTGACTATCACCTAACGATTGAAATTTAGCCACCGGAAAATCTAAAAATACGTCTACATAATTTGTATATCTATATATAAAGGCTCCACCTAAAAATGCACGGGACAGTCAACTACTATCGGGAGGTCAACAACTGTACCATTCACCCTTAATTTTTCAGAAACCTAATGTATTAATAGTACTAATGTTTTTTTTTTAAAGTTATAACAGCAATAATGATGACAAAAATAGTAATAACTACACAGAGGTAGTGGTAGACAAGGCCTCTCCTTGTCATGTTACATCCTTGTACCATAATATACATCTTAAAATCGAGTGAAATAAATCAAATAATCCGAGCATGTTACCTTACTTGGAATTTTATGGAACACTTTCAATAAAAAAGTTTAGACTACCTCTTTTGTTGACTCGATAGTTTTTGCCTAAGAATATAATGTAAGTATATTATTCTATTATAGTGTAACAGAAAGAATTGTATGAATCTGTTACTTTATAATGGTCGTCGCATTTTTTTTTTTTTTTTTNTCTATTATAGTGTAACAAAAAGTATTGTATAAATCTGTTACTTTATTAATGGTAGTCACATTTTTTTTTTTTGTGTGTGAAATATTAAAATTAGTTAATTTTTCTTACGGATATATATTGCCTATTTTTAGAAAAAGCTTCTTGTGTCCCACATTGAAAACATGTTATAAACAATTTTGTGCAATCATCTGACTATGGAAAACATTTTATAAAAATTCAATCGGGAATAAATAAGTCGGTATGCACTGCGAAAGGATTCACTAATACACGCAATAAAATTTTACTACTATTAAAAGTGTTTTTATTGCATGAAAATTGTGTATACAGACGACATAAAATGCATTTATGTCTAAACAGCACAAAAAGTTAGAAATGCTCTTATTAGCTTTCATTATTCATTCCAAACTTTAAGAGTATAAAATTGCAAAACACTTTTAAAACATTATTCTCCTTACTGAAGTTAGTTTTCTTCAGTCGGTTCATTGTTGGATGGGTTGTTGGTAGTATAGTTTGTATCAACGAATGGCTCATTCTTACAAGGAATATACACAGTTAATGCACCATCCAAGCTTAAGGTTATCTTAGCACCATTAAAGTCGTAGGTTTCAGAGACGGGAAACGTCTTCGACAAATTTTTATAGACATTACCGTGCTCATCTTGCACTTCGTCGTGAATGGCCTTAACTACAATTAATCCGTCTTCCACCTGTAATCAAATTAAAATTTGTTAAGTATTTGCTTTGCTTTTGATATTATATTATTTTCATTATCAATATTTTTTTCTCACACCTATCATTTAAATAATATACATGACGAATAAAAGAAAAATATACTTACGAACACCCTAATTTCTTTCAGAGCAAATCCTGCGCAGTCTACCGTTTTGTAAAAATCTTCCTACAAAAACCCTCGGTAATTCAATTAGTTAGAATTCGTTAGAAAAATACAGTTATAATTAAGGTGGCTCATCACGTTTTTGAAAGTCTAGCCTTTGCACCTACATAGAAATTTATGGTATAATAACACTCATTGAATGTACAGTGTAAATTTCTGGTTATGTTGCCAACATTTACGTACCATGCATATACCTACGCGTGCGTGTGCCCCCGCTAGCCTGGGCACAAAAAGGTAGAGAAAAGACGGCATAGGAAGAGACGAATCAACGGAGTGAAGGGGAGATTAGTTAGAGCTGTGAGAGCGAAAGGACTAGGTCTGCAAGACTAGAATATACGTGCAACTTTCCTCAAATACAAAGACTCCTAATAAAGTATAAGTTAATCACAAGTCGCGCTTTTACTTATACCCTTACCGAGAAATCCACGTAACAGGACCAAAATGAAATGAAAAACACATTCAGAATCCAAAATTTTAGCATTAGTCTTATGGGGCATTTAAATTTCTTTTATCGGAAGTTATAGCTTTTCATGCTAAAAGTCAAGCCACATGCTACAAAAAGGGAGAGCAGATTGTTTAAATATCCCTCTTTCTAATGGAATCGCAAATTTTCAAGTTTATAAAAATGCGGATTTGTATCTATGGGTATGTATATCGAGCCTGCTACTCAATATTTTCATGTGTGATAGTCTAATGTCATACAGATAGTATAAAAATGATGATTTACCTTGTGTACTTTATCGTTCGAGGAACTGTTGTCATCGTAGCTCTGATGGATAGGTAATATGAGCTTTTTACCATCGCAGGTTGCACGGAAAATGGACCGTGAGGCCTGAGAACTACGAACACATTTGTCAATGTGTGCGTATACTTCTTCTTCAGTATACGTCAGCTCTCCGACATAATTCATGATAATTTAGAACAAGAAATCTGAATACAAACAATCGTTTTAACTGCTCCTTAAACAAAGTCTTCAATGGCGATAAAGAAATATCGAACTGATTGCTGTATGAATTTGATATGCGCTCCGTGTGCTACTTGTATAGCTGGAGGTGCAACAATCACTGCTTGTACTAATACTAAACGCTGTCGTCACCCGCTGCAGTTGGACTACTTGAGTGTAATCGACTAGTGCTGCGTGCACTGTTCCGAAAGAGAATTGGTGGGGGATACTCCTTCAGATAAGTACGGAAGAGTCACGTCATCGTAGCTCTAGTAGCAGTCCTGCCGCAATGAGAGCAGCACTGCTACTTTTAGTAATGAAGCATCCCCAGTTGATGGAGAAGCTGATCCAATCATCTCTTGGTATAAAACTTTTAGTTACTTAAATTTTACTCGTGAAGAATACTTATGTTAGGCTATATAATTAAATAATTGCACATAAACTTACTAGTATAAGAATACTTTTTACATACAAATTTTGAAATACCATGTTAACATCTTACGTAAGTAAGTTGCGTGTATTACCTTCGTATAAACGCTCCACGCATACCGCGATTAAACGTTGGATCTTTTGATACCTTTTGTAATAAATAAATTTGGGAGATTTCGTTCATTTAAAACTGATTTTATGTTACTGGGAATCAAACCCTCACGTCTCCTACAGAAATGTTGTTGATTGTGTGATTATTATGCTCATCATTGATTATAGGCAGTACCGATCCTTAATTGTTAATATATTTAAGTATATTCGTAAAATTGTGCTTTTTTTTAGCACAGCTTTTTATTATTCAAATCATATCTGCCAATTTTATATTTTGGTATATAGCATGACTAATTGAGGCAGACTTGAAGAAAGCATATTGGTTGGTTAATATTATTCAAAACGGAAGTAAAAGTAAATCACGTGCCTATAGGCTAAAAAGTAACCTACAGTCATCGCTTGTATGATAAATTTTTTGCAGTCTGGTGTAGTTGCTCTCTTTTCAAGTTAAAGACACCGAAAATTGAAAGTCCCTACTACCAAACTCATGAGTTTTGAAAGACTTTTTTTTTTAATTTGCTTGTAAAACGTGACAGTTTTTTTTTGTTTTTTTTTTTCTATATTTTAATTTGTACTTCTATCAGCGTTATATGCGCTACAGAGCAAACCAACGAATTCAAATTTGTGACCTTGACAAAATATGTAA